AATTCAGGAGATTTTAAACTCACTGTTATTTGAATACATTTATGTAAAAGAACAATAGAAACAACGAATACTTTCAAAGTTTATATCAACCACGAACATTTTTAATTTGGAAAGTTTGGGTATGCCACGTATAGACTAGTTAGAACCATGTTAAAATTCAAAACATTGTACATTTTATGAAATATATCAAATTAGAAATTGGTTTAAAATTATTACTTAATTATGTATTACTCATGTATTTTATGTACAATATAAATTTTTTTATATAAAATGCATTATAAAACTATTTTTACTTATTCATACTTAATTATTTTCTTTACAAATAAATTTAATAAACAATTTTAAATACAAAAATTATTATTGTTATTATGTTTTACAAATTATTTTCTTGTTAGAGATTTTTATAAAAACATTATTTTTATGAATATAGTTCACAAAAAAAAAAAATATGTGTTACAATACAAATTTACAGGTTATTATTGTTATTAAAACAATTTACAAAAATTTAAGTTAAAAAAAAAACTTAATATATACCATTTGAGAACTGTCCTACCTATTGGTGTGTAATGAGCAGGGTTCGGGACTTATAGCACTTAAAATCATCAAAAAAAGCGCTAAAAATGAGTATCGTATTCAAAAATATGCTATTTTTATGTGTAAAATTCTGGGTTTTGTATTTTATTTAATATTAAAATACATGACAAGGGGAGTACACTGATTTGGATAAATATTATATAAATAAAATTTATATAGCTAAAAAGTTAAATTTATTTAAATTTGTTTGCTTCTTTTAAATCAAGAAAAATAACTTTGAAATTTGAACCAGCTTAAATAGCCAATTTTTTCAGTTGAAAGTAGTGACGTACGGTCGCCGAGTTGTGTTTAACGCACTTGGGGTACAAGTTTCCAACTCGCGTATGACAATGAGTTTTTTGCATGTTTTCTTAATTCTTTTTAAATTAGAATAATTTTTCATCTGCTTTGATTTTTATCTCATTTAGATTCAATAACTTCAATATTGATCAAGGATCCCATCACTGTAGTCGCCCCTTGCGAGAAGATATTACTTATTCATATTAAACATATTTTTACTATATTTTAGGTTTTAGCTTTGATGCAAAGCTGAGAAGGTATATTTTTATGACTATCATTTATTTTCTCTGCTCTAACTTGACCTACATTTTTCAAGGATACGTCAAATGATTACAATTAATTGAAGATATTACCCTCTGTTCGCTCTCGTTATCATGCGATTAAGCGATAGCAATAATAATGATGGTCGCCGACCAATATAAGATACAGTTACGTTCGATCTACGTACGCGCGCGGACAAATCGCTAGCTTACAATTAAATTAGAATAAAAAGATACAGTCCACTATTTTTAATATTTGTATTTATAAATTATTTATTTATTTATTATACGTATTGAACCAGTTCGCAACACCCTCAAAAATTGAAAAAAATTCTAATTTATCAATTAAACAGTTACTTCTCCATACAGACAATTAAAATCATTAATTTCTATTGTTTTCAAAGTATTTACTGACGAATCAATTTTGATATGATAATTTGATATGACAGGTTTCAACTACAAAATTAAATCATTTTACTTTGTAATTTAATAATTTGTTTACTCTATTTGTGTGTGCTACTACTATACTATAATAGTAGGGTAAAATAGAGAGTTCTAGAACCCCCCCGCCTCACCCCTTCACCTACCCACCTACCGTGGGTGGGCGTGGTCGGGGGAGGAGGGANCTGTGCCTAGACCCCTTGTGCTGGGTTTTTTTTTTTTAATATGACTCAACATAAAAAAAAAAATCAAATCAATTCAAGTGAAATTGAGTTACAGTTTGTGGTTAAAATTATGTTCGCTCAGTCACCTCTATACCATGAAGTAATTCCATACCCACTCTATGTACTAAAATACTTTTAACTCAATAAGTATTTGCCCTAACATTATTATCGACACATAAAAAAACTTTGTAATAAATTAGAAAAAAAGATTATTTAAAAATATTATAATAAGAAATTATTCTTTTTTTAAATTTATATTTGTATTAATAATTTGCCTTTTTTAATAAATTTGGCTATTGTTATTTACATGGTTTGACTAAAAATAGTTTTTATTTTTTAATGTATAATTTAATATTTACTTAAAATGCTCTTTTTAAATTTAAAAATAAAAAAGTATAATTAAGTTATGTGGATAGTTTATTATATATATATATACTATTGAACCAAAGAATTGTCATTAGTTATTCAATATTGAACACCTAGTTTCAAAATGGAGGTATGTATCTAAAGTGCTTTGTTGATATATAAAACATTTTTTTATTATATTATAGAATTGGCAATTAAGATCTCTTATGTTAATAATATCTAGTTTGATATTTAACGAAGGTAAATTTTATATTACATTATTTATGACTATTAATTTTATAACTATATATTTTAATTCGTGTAATTTTTAAAACTCTCTTAGTTGCCCAAAAGGATCGATTAAGAATAAAATACTCATTTTCTTGAAAATATTTTACTTTTAATTTTCATAAAGGAAAAAGTTGATTAATTCAAAAACTATAATAGTATTAGTTTTTTTTCATAGCTTTTAAATAATATGCAGTTATATTATTATGTTTAATCTCTTACATATTAAAAATTGGAATTTTAATTTTTTTCACAATTTTTAGATTGATGATATTTTTGGAGTAAAATCCATGCCAAATCATCCAGAAGTAGTTGCACGACCACATCATATTTTACTTAAATTTTCAGGGTTTATTCTTTATGATACATTTAGATTAATTTTTTTTTTATGACCTTCCCATTTGTATGGCTATTTCAATTTTAAAAATGTTAAAAATAGCCAGAACGTTAAAAAATACACACATTATTCAATATTAACTTAATCGAATTATAATTTCAGACTTAATCTTATTATAACTTAAAGTTTGCATAAAAAAAAAAAATATATGAGAAATTCTAAATTTTAATGACTTTTTAAATAAGGTACTTTTTTTGTGAAAATTGGCGTTTTTTAATTCAATTAAAACCATTAAGAAGTTATTATTTTATATTGCATTATATCTGTTGGGGGACCTAATTTCAAAAAAAAATGTTTTAGTTTTCTATTTATATTTGCTTAATACACCATACAAATTATTACATGCGATTTAATTGTGTAAAACTATTCTCAGTAATAATATAATATTTATAATAATTACATTGAATTGTAATATATTACATATACAATAATATATAAAACGTTCAATGTGCGGCCCGAACATCAACCTATCGTCGATGAGCAGGCCCAGATAGCTCATGGTCCGCTTCAGCGGGACATCAGTCCCCAGTACGGTGAGCCTAGGAGGAACGTACTTGTACTTTCGCGTGAACAAAACCGCTTCGGTTTTGTCCAGCGCTAGGCACAAGCCGGTCCCCTCCTGCTGGATCCAGTCAGTGACGGCGCAGAGCGCACCGTTTGCCCGGAAACCAGCCTCCTCCGCCGAAGTGCCTTCCGCCACCACGAGCGTGTCGTCCGCATAGCAGATGACACATGTACCCCGTGGCAGCGGAACGCGGAATACCGCGTTGAACGCGATGTTCCATAGCAAGGGCCCTAGTACCGAACCTTGCGGGACGCCTCCCGTCACGGTTTTGGTTCTGGGCCCTGCGGCACTCGCATACTCGATGACCCGGTCGTTGAAATACGACCGGATCATTTGGCGGAGGTACGGAGGCACCCGGAACGCTTCCAACGCTCCGAGGATGTGTGACCATCTCACGGAGTTGAAAGCGTTCCGGATGTCCAGGCTCACCGCAACGCAGAAGCCCGGTCCGTTNTGCAACACAGAAGCCCGGTCCGTTCTCGGCCCTGACGGCCAACTGCTGCAACAGGGAGGCCGCGTCGTCCGTCGACCTCCCTTTCCTGAACCCGAACTGGCCGTCCGCCAGCCCACCGACCGTCTCCAGGTGGTGCTCTATGCGGGTGGCCAACAGCCGCTCGAGGATCTTCCCCACGTCGTCCAGCATGCAAAGAGGCCGGTACGACGAGGGGACTCCCTCGGGCTTGTCGCCTTTCCGCAAGAGCACCAACCTCGCCCTCTTCCACCGGGGCGGGATATCACCCTTTTGGAGACACACGTTTAAAACGGTGTCCAGCCACTGCGGTGCGAGGTCGTGGACGAGACCCCCACCCGGTTCGGTATACTGTCCGGACCGGGCGCGGTGTTCCTCCCCCGAACTCTCGCTACCGCAGCGGATATCTCCTCTAGGATGAAATCCTCGACGGTCGCGTCGTCTCCGGCGGACGGCCAGTCTCCCAGGGGTGGGAGAGGCGGATGCGTCGGGAACAGCGCGTGGACCGTCTGTTCCAACGTCTCCGCCTCCAGTTGCCCCGAAGTCGGTGGGCCGCGCAGCTTGCGCATCACGACCCTATAGGGTTTCCCCCAAGGGTCGTGATCCACCGACTTCACGAGGTCGGCCCAGCAACGAGCTTTGCTACGCCTGATGGCGAGCTTCAGCCGTTTCCGGGCCTCCCTCAGCAACTCCCTGGGATCCGGATTATCCGGATCGGGTTCTGCCTGCCCACGCCTGTTGGACCGCGTCAGGGCTCTCCTCGCCCTGACGCAGTCGCTTCTCAGGGCAGACACCTCCTCGTTCCACCAGTGAACGGGAGGTCCTCGGGTAGGTGGCGGACGCTTTCTGGGGAGTGCAAAGTCGCAAGCGACTTCGACTCTCCTGTCCAGCTCTTCCGCCACCTCGCCCGCGGAGACCAGTCGATCGGGCGGAGTGGGCGCCGTCCATCGGGCGATCAATAGACCGGCCGCGAATAGATTGGCGTCCGACTCCGGGCCGACTTTCCAGCCGACGCGAGCGCCGCGAGGCTGCAGGTCCGGCCTTGTCCGAGGACGCCTGCCGTCGGTGCACTCGAACGTGATGTACCAGTGGTCGCTCATGTTCTCCACGTGGGAGAGAACGGACCAACCGGCAATACGTCCGAGGACCGACGGCGACGCCAGCGTGACGTCCACCACCGAGCTCGAGGTGTTACCCACGAACGTCGGGGTGGTTCCCCTGTTGGCCGTCGACAGCCCTAAGGCNGGTCGAGGTGTTACTCACGAACGTCGGGGTGGTTCCCCTGTTGGCCGTCGACAGCCCTAAGGCCGCCATGACGTCCAACAGTTCGTCGCCACGCCGGTCCGCCGAAGCGGATCCCCATACCGGGGACTTAGCGTTAAAGTCCCCGGCGACGAGTTCGTCCCTGCCACCCCGCAGACCCGAGGAACGTCTGNACCAAACCTGCCAACCGACAAACGGTTCCGAGATTACTCACACGTCGATGCGCATCTCGTATACCGCCTGCCGGACCAGATCCTGCGCCGCCCTACAATGGTTGAGGTTCGTTTGAAGGAACCTCATCCACTGGTGGGCGGCGCACAGGACGCCTTAGGGGTCCCTTGGACCGCCGACACCTCTCCCCGGGGCTTTTCAACAGCCCCTCCCTTGGTCCCCTTAACTTGGGGACCGGGGCAGTCCTTGGACAGGTGCCCCACCCTTCGGCACCTGAAGCAGGCACTCTTGCGGTCCGGACCTTTGCAGGCGGCCGCAATGTGCCCTCGCTCCAGGCACCTGTAGCACTGAGGACCCTTGTCTTCGAGGATCCTCAGCCTACAGGAGCTCCACCCCACCCTCACTCGCGTGAGGGCCGCTAGGCGTGGAGCCAGCCGAATGGGCAGGTCACACCTGGCGTACCGCCCCTTGCCGACTCCGTTGGTGCGGACCATAACCGCACCAACTTCGGCCTGGCCCCCGTCTGGGGCCTGGAGGGCGGAGACCAGGGCGGACTTAAAGTCCCCCGGCTCCATCCATTCCTCTACGTCCAGGAGCATGACGCTGCAGGTCTTAGTCGGCCTGCTGACCCGAACGTCATGCTCCTGAAGGGCCTCCTTAAGCTTGGCGGCCAGGAGGTCTGCGTGCGAGGCCACGCCCTTGACCTCCAGCAGCACCGCCCCTGCTTGGGTCCTCCTGGTGCCGGTAACTTGGACCCCCAAGGCCTGGAGGTCAACAGCCGCCATGGCCGTTTTCATAACGGCCGCGTACTGCTGCCCCGCCTTCAGGGGCCCAATTACCACCGCCTCCGTGCGGGGTACCTTCGCCTTCATCTGGGCAGCCGAAGGCTTCCTCGACCCCGCTTTCGGGGAAGGTTGCTTCGGCTTCAGGGCGGCCGGTCTTACGTCCCGGGACCCCGGGTCGGTCGGCTTCTTTACCTTGGCCTTCCGACGGACGACTTCGGTCCACAGCGGCACTACGGAAGTGGTNGCCTTTTTTTTTTTTTTTTTTTTTTTTTTCCTTCAGCCGATTTCATGCAGACCGCCCCGGGACTGCCGTTAAGCATTGCTTCGAGGCGGCCTACGTCGCTTTCTAACGCTTCTGCCACCGCGCTGTGCTTCGGCCCGAACTTAATCCGGGGCCGGATCACAGCGCGGTGCTGCCTCTCCCGTTAGCCGGACCCCACTGGTGGGTCCGTTGCCCGGGCTGCACCACGCGGAGGTGGGGGCAGGACTTCGCGATGGGTTGGGTCCATCCTTGATGGGCACTCTTTAGCGATATGCCCACCTTTTCTGCACCTGTGACAGTTCCCTGACCTGTCCGGGCCCTTACAGCTGTGGGCAATGTGCCNTTGTTTTTGCGGACCTTAAGGACTGTTCACACGTATTTCTCAGGGAGGGAGGTGTCCGAGCAGCACTTCAACCGCCATATCAAGGTCCCTTCGAAGTAATTGCCCGAAATGACAAAACGTTCACAATAAAAGTTCGAAATCAATCAGTTACGGTGACGATTGATAGAGTAAAACCTGCCTACCTCATGGTGAACGAAAGCACAACCGTTAGCCAGGCACATGCTCCACCAGCAACTGCCCCGGATACGACCAAACAGAAACAACCGCCTAATACCGATCCATCAACACAGCCAGTACGAACAACTCGCTCAGGCCGCCGAGTCAGATTCCCGGACATTTTTGACCCTAGCTAACTCCACTCCGTAGGGGGGATGTGTGGCGGTCGAATATTCTAGAATGTCCGGCCGCCGCCGCCTCTAGAAGATTCGTCGCTCTACATAAGCGTGTGGCGGTCGAATGTCTAGAGAGTTCCGACGCCGCCTCTAGAAGATTCCTCTGACTATTTAAGGGCAAGATCGTCGCTCCAGTCAGTCAGTCGATCAGTCAATCGATTACGCATTCTGTCTTACACGCGCTTCGTTTCTCGCTGTTATTTATTAGTTCGTTGTAATACAGTTCGTCTCTCGCTGTTATTTGTTATTTGTTAGTTCGTTGTAATATAGTATAGTTGTTATTAAATCGTAAAAGTGTTTATTACTTCTATATATTACACCTCGCT